AAAAAAAAAATTTGTTAAATATTAAATTTCTTTTACTCCTCGTGTTCTTTTATCTCGTGAAAATACTAGAAATTTGAGCCTGGCATAAGACTCATCTGTATTTTTATAATTCAATTTTTCTAACAGTCTTACTGATTACTAAAAACAATTGTAGCGCAAAATATAACAACAAAACAACTGAATTTGAGTTGAATTTTTTTCGGGTGACAGCAATACGGAATAAAACTGAGTTTATTATAAATAAATCAATCTTAATGCCAACAACTCAAACTGCTTTTGTCAGTAAGCTTAAAACAGGCAAAGAAAAAATAAATAAATAAATAAATAAATATTTCAGAAAAAAAATGAATCAAAAAAAAAGAGAAAAAAAACTCTTGTGAATACTCTTTTTTTTCGGCAACTTTATTAGCTTATTGAGAAGACTGAAAAAAAAAAAACTTATTGAGCTTAGACGTACAGCAAAAAACATAAAGACGGAAAAGTGAATAAATATTATCCGGAAAACCGCAGTTTATTCATCGGGAAAAAAAAAGAAAATACATAGATAAAAAAGCAAGCAAAAGCAATAGTTCTAAAAAAAAAATAGTTGTCTCAACTCTACAGGAAAAAAAAAAAACAATAAAAATTGCAGAAGAAAATAATTTGCCTTACCAAACTGCACAGCTTCTTTACAATAACCCAATAATATATAATATTTGCACACCAAAATATTTACACATTTGAAAATAGAAAAAATATATAATAAAAAAAAAAAACAACAACAACAACAACCAAAAAAAAAAAAAAAAGCAGAAGTAAATTATAGTATCAGTTAAGCCATTAAAAATAATATCAGTACTAATTGCGGGATAACATTTGTGGTTCTGTGTGTGTGTGTGTGTGTCTGTGTGTGTCTGTGTGTTTGTGTGTGTCTGTGTGTGTCTGTGTGTGTCTTTATGTTATTTTAATGTACCAACATAAATGCCCCGTGCCATAAGTCTGAACCAAAATTTTTTATCTCATTCCTATCACCTAACTATTTGTTCAACAAATACAGCAATTCTTAAATAATATCAATCATAACTTTTCAATTTCATTCCCAAACAGCTTTTTTCTCTTTTGTTTTTTTTTGGTAAATCTAATATAAAACACTATTTTTGTTCAGTTTTTTTTCCTCCAACCATTTTTACTTATTTTTTAAGCAAACTCATTGTCGAAAAAAAAAACCAAACAAAACAAAAAAGAAAGAAAGAAGGAGAAAAAAAAGAAGTAAATAAACAAATAAAAAATTGATATATATATATATATAAAAATCTTAAAATAATAGATTTGAAAAAATAGATTTTTCTGAAAAATAAATTGTCGACAAGATAAATTAAACTGTTGAAAACAACTGTTCAACTGAATATAATCTGTTTGCCGAGGCGCGCAGTGAAATTAAAACAGACAGTCAACAAGTGTAAGTTTGTTTCCTTCTGAACAAACGACACAAACTCAACAATTGTGCTATAAAACTTGCTTAAGTTCAGGTTCCACCCCAGCTTCATTTGCATATATCCAGAATAACTTTAATTTATTAGCCCCGCTAAAATTGCTGTTTTTTTTATTGAATAAAAAACTAAAACGCTTATTTTGCCTTCTGGTCTTTTTTTTTTCTGCTTACTCAATTTAGTTGTACAACAGTTTGGATGAAATTAGGGAAATTATCAACTTCAAGTTCCGTACCAAAATAGCAGTCTTTCTTTTTTTTTCCGGAGTTTGAATCAATCTTTCCGGGTACTGCTAGTTGTCGTTTTTTTTTAATATCATAAATTGCATACATTACTTTTAAAAGCATTAAAATCTTTTCATGCTGGGTTTACAGTGTAATTATTATTTTTGGGGAAACTTTACACAGCACCACTTTTAACATTAAACAATTCTTCCAAACAACAATGCAACAGAGTGAAAAAAAAAATTGAGCACTTCTTTCAGTATCAAAAAAAAAAAAAACGTTTTTTTTTTTTCATCTTTACTACCTATCTTTTGGTTTGCTTCTATCCGATCTAATTAAATCTTTGCTTTTTTTTTTCTCATCTATCCAAATATGATTTTGATTTCTTTTAAATAAAAGAGACATTTACTGGCAAAACTTGTGTTGATACAATGCAAAAAGTATATGTATTTATTGCAATCTATCAATGCAAAAAAATTTGATAAACTATCATCAATTTCAGGTTTTAATAACAAAAAAAAAAATTAAAAACTTAAAATTTTATTGTTGGAAACTTTTAACAATTTAGTTGGAAATTACTCTTAACTGCATAATAATGGCTTAATGTAAGTTATCCATAGCAGCAGTTTTATTATTGACCATTTCCCATCTTTTACTAATCATCAATAAATTCATTTATCATTTCTTGCTCGCCTTTTCAAACTTTGCTCCAATTGTTCCATTTTTTTTTAAATTATCAATTAATCAATTTGTCAAGATCAGTAACAAATTTTTTGATAAGTTTAACTGCATTCAAAGTTA